GTACATATCGCAAAATACAGTGTTTCATGCATGCGACGTAGACGACGACGCAGCGTCAAATACAGCCTACGCGCGTACTACTACTACTACTACTACTACTACTACTACTACTACTACTACATACTACTACTACATACTACTACTACTACTACTACTACTACTACTACTACTACTACTTCTACTACCTCTTCTTCTTCTACTACTACTACTACTTCTACTACTACTAGTACTACCTGCTACTACTACCACCGCCACCACGACGACGACGACTACTACTACTGTGCTACTAGTGCTACTACTGTTCATTACATGAAGAGCCAGTTTCCCAACATGTAAAGTCTTGTGGCAGTTTCAAGCTGTTACCCCGAGTCTGCAACGCTTAATGGCTGTGCGTATCGTTTCCCTCTTACGATTGATAAACACTCCAGCGATGCATTATATAATGATGCGACTATGGTTTAGCTCTTCAGCTGCAGATCCACATACACTTTGCCGAGTACCACGGTGCTAACGCTATCTTGAATGCGGCCTCCCGAGAATAGCCCATGTTCGGCACCTGTTTTTTCGAGTACAGGGCCAAAGCCTCAGGCACATCGTGCCCGGCATCCGCAACTTCTTTCCTCAGCTGGGCATGGCATCATCTTCAATTCTCGGCCCTTTGTAACTTCGCGAGCTCCAAACATGAGCAAAATGCAACTCAACTGAGCCAGATGCTGCAGAATCTCAGCCAAGACCACTGCGTCCTTTCAGAGACATGCAGGCTAGGGCCTATATAAAGCGGCGGTAGGTTCATGAGCCACACACCCCTCACAAGCGCTGTTGGCATTGACTACTGTCCCAACATCAGCTGTGATGCCTGACAACTGCGCCAGACATGAATCAAGCTGGCAGTCCTGCAGCGCAGAGTTGCAGCCCTGCCCACTGGCACCCCCCGTAGAATGGGCCGCATCACCCAAGAGCACGGCCCCTCGGACGGTGAAGGATACCAAAAGTTGGAGACTGATGCCAAGGAGCTCTACAAGTTGTGGCCGAGGGTCTCCCAAAGGAGTATGTATTGCACTTCACGGTGGAAGCACGAGAAGCCTTTCAGGAATGTGTGTGCACAGCAGGCTGATTTTCCCAACGAAGCTGCACGCCCATGCAGGCCCATCCCAGGATAAGCACATGTAAGCAAAGAAACATTAACACATCACACTCTTCGGGGTGCCTTTTGCGACACGAACTGCTTGGCGGACTCCTCGTCCATCGCATCCTTTGCCGCCGAGGGCCCCATGCAATCAAATCAACCAACCATGATGGCTCTAAACCGATTCGCCTCGTGCCTCATCGTGGCCAATGCCGAGACTCCAAAGCCTCCTGCACTTGTTATACAGCCTGACTCAAACCCTGCATGGCCGCACTCTGAGGCGGGACACTGCGATAAGGGGAAAGGACGCCGCCAACACTTCCCGTGCCTGCAGCCAACTCCTATAACCGCAACGTTCCGCAAGCAGAGGCCCAGCTTAGCTTCTTAATGCTTCTTGTTCGGCTCCCATGTTGCTGCACTCTGGTCGCCCTGTGCACTGGCGTTATGATTCGTGCCATATAACATGCCATCCTATCATTGTGTTAAAATACTCTACACTTTCTCACAGCCCAGCCTTGGCAGCATCTGTGAGGTCTCCGAGGCCCGGCTCTGTCTTCGCATCCTGCCCTGGTTCCCTCCAGTTGATGAGGGCGCAGCCTCCACCTTTTCAGGCCGCCGGGCACTTCAAGACCCCTATGTGTGAGCGTGCGTGTGTATTTCCCTCTTATGTATGTATGCATGTATGTATGTACATTACACAGACATATATACATATATGCATATATGTAGCATATAGTTTGTAGATATATATATATATGTCCATAATTGTATCTAGAGCTATAGCCATCTGTGTATAGAGTATATATATATATGATATATATATATATATGTATCTGTGTATATATATATATATACATATCTAATATTTATCTAGTTTCTCGATCCACATGCATGCTTTCGACATACCCTACTCTACTTCGATGCTCTTATTCACATACATAGAGAGAGAGAGGGAGAGAGAAAGAGAGACTTGCGTGTGCCTGTGTGTGTGCACGTATATGTCTGAGGCTGGCTACAACGCCCGCTTTGTCTTCTGTTACCAATCCTTGTCGTGTCAACTCCACGACAAACCCTGCAGTGCATGGGCTTGTCTCGAAAGACCAGTTCTTGTTACAAACTTTGTCGCGTGTGGAGCCCAAATACATGTACATGTATGTACGTGCGTGCATCTATGTTTTCAAAACCTTACAAGCAGAGCAAATGTTGTGGGCAGAACTGCAAGTCCCAAGACAGTCCATTCACGTCTTCATCTGCAAGTAGGCTAAGCTGTGTGTGTGGGCGGGTTTTATTGGACGTATCTGTTTGCCTGTCTGGCTGTACGTAGGCAGGTAGGCAGGTACCAGGTAGGTAGGTAGGTAGGTAGGTAGGTAGGTAGGTAGGTAAGTACTAGGTAGAGCCCCCGACCCTTGCGAAAAATTTTAAGGGATGGGGCCGTGATGTAGGGGAACCAAAGCAAATGCGCAATCTCATACCCTAAACCACAAGCTCCAGCCTGGGGCACGTTCATTCTCATGGAATTAGAGGCATTTGGCAAGATTCTCGTCTTAGTCTTTCCATGTACTCGATATCTCCGCGGAATGAGTCTGGCTTGCCAGAGCTTCTTTTTTCAGGAAAGGAAACAGCTTTGTTGCGACTTCGGGTGACTAGGTACGTACGTATGCAGTAGTTAAGCAGGTCGTATGTGTGCATGTGTGCATGTACGTATGTATGTATGCATGTAGGTAGGTATCTATGTACGTGTGTAAGTGCATGTATGCATGTGTGTATGTATGTCTGTGTGTATGTAGGTATGTAGGCATGTAGGTATGTATGTATGTACATATGTATGTACGCATGTATGTAATGTATGTACGTAACGTACGGTACGTATGTACGTACGTACGTATACCGTATGCATGTAGGTAGTTTTCTAGATTAGAAACCCTTTTTCAGGTCCCCAATATAATACGGCACCCTTATACTTATAAACAGGACCCCGAAAGGGAGCCTAAATTTAGAGAACTACCCATGTATATACGTATGTATGTATGTATGTATGTATGTATGTATGTATGTATGTATGTGTGTGTGTATGTATGTATGTCGTACGTATGTCGTGCATGTCGTGGAGTGTGAGAACTTCCTTAGGTGATGTGTGCTGCTGCTGAGGCAATGTGCTCCGGGTGCTCGTGATGAGTGTCTTCTGTTTGTTTGTTTTCAGCCCTTAACCTCCCCTGAGCTTCGCGTGCGAGTCCTAAAAATAAAATGTGTCCGTGTGCGCATATGTGTATGTGTGTATATGTATGCAATGTGTGCATGCGTATATGCACAAAAGACACCTTTGTGAATAAATGCATGAACAAACGTAAGTGATACTGTATAGCTGCATGTGTGTATAGATATCATGCATATACATGCCGCAAACAAGCAGGAGAGTTCCGCTGCAAGCCCCTTGTGGCCCTGGTTCATATTCGAACTGCCGCCACAGAAAATGCGATCTTGTACTACGGCAGATCAACCTACCTCCACCGCACAAGAGGTCACAAATTCCAGGTTGCCAGAGGACCATACTAGCAAGGGCCCAAATCCATTTTGGGACGATGTCAAAAGGTTAGCTTGACCCGTGCAGATCCAAAGATACCACGCCCGTGCCGTCACATGATCCTGTATTGGTTCTGCCTTGCTCGCGTGGCACATGGGTAGCCTTCGATTCTAACTAGGGACTCTTTTTTAGGGTCCTTTCACAAGGGTGCCATACCATGTTGGGAAGGCCCTAATCCAGAGAACGACCCATACGGCTCGCTCCATGAAAACCGAAGAACCCTGTAGCCATGGCTGATCCCAGCCCAGGGGCGAGCTGTGGGTTCCACGAATGCAGAGGTCCCGCCCTTGCCCGGTATGGCGTGGACGGCGGTCGGATCCAATTTCTCAGGCATCCTCGGGCTTCTAAGGCGACTTCAGGCAGCTTCCAAGAAACACGGTACTAACAAACGCAGGCCAGGCTGCTGCGGAAATCGCAGAACCTTCAGGCTACCAGGCAACTGCTTCTGCTCAACCTGACAGGGTCTTGTGCAAACAGCAGCAGCCACCATCATGACGACTCAGAATGAAAACGAACGTGCGCCACAAGTCGGAATCAGTCCAACCAAAGTCCTGGCACAGGGAACTCGAGGCCTTGAAGCCGGCACACGCGTCGGCGATGCTCGCTCGGACTGCCTCAGCTCTCAAACACGACCCTGGCTCATGGCGCAATCGGCCCAAGCTATCCAAGCTAGGGTGCAGAATTCACGCCGTCGCAGCCAGCGATCACGTCCACTGGGGCCAGCTCCTCCAACTTGTCACCCGATTGGAGCACTGCCGAACCTAGCCACGGGCGACATCCCATAGCCAAGCCGGAAGAGAAGGAGTTCAAGCACATCAAACGCCTTCTCGCAAGTGGCCACGACCGGTGCCACACTGGACATATCTTTATCTATCAATCCCAAAACCTCCTGCCTGCAATGGGATCCGCAGACTTCAAGCGAGTGTCGAAGGAAGTCTGCAGCCTCCCAGTTCCTCGGCAGCCAAACCCGGCAAAACGTGTGCTGCGCAGGTTCACACGAGACCCCCAGGCCAGAATTGAATCGTTTGGGGCCCTTTGATGCACTCCTGCTGCGCTCATTACACGCCAGTCCACCGATTGCAACGGGGTTCGTTCTGAAGGAGCCCAGCCCTGGCGAAATCAAGTTCAATTCACTATAGCACTAGCGAGCCAGAAAACTTCAAGCGATATTTCGACAGGCCTTTTCAAACCGGAAAGCAAGGACCAGCCCAGCCAAGGCACCTGAGAAAGAACGTTCCAAGTCATCCAACATTGCGGAGCAAAGATCAGACTGGTAGATGAGAAGGCTGGGCTCCAGCCCGCTGTTGTCTTCTGGGGTACGAAGGTCGATGGCCTCAGGGCAGGTCCCGAGCCTGCAGAAGGCACAGACTGGCTGATTGGCAGAGACCAAGTCTCTGACGAAGCTGGGAGAAAGGTGGAGCTTGAACCGCTCGCTGGCAAAGCCGTTTGGCTTGATGGATGCCCAGAGTTCCTCTCCAGCTGTCCTGACGGGGAAGCGCCACGCCCTGAAGAACCGCCGCAGCCGAAAGAGCAACTTTTCGTCCTGATGGCTGTGCGCCCCCGGATGCCCAGGCCCAGCGCATAGGCGCGGCCCTGAAGCGACTTGTCCGTCCGCGGATCACGTCGGCCTTCGACGAGACGCACCGATGCCCCGGCCGAGAGCAAGCGGTGTGCCAGCAGCAGCCCTCAGGAACAAGGCTCGCAGTTTGAAGAAGAGTTCAGGAAGCTTTAGATTCGTAGACTTAGGATTCTTTTCCTCACGTCGAGCCTGAAGGACCTGCCCCAGCGATCAGGACAGACAAGGCTAGGCCAGGTCCAGAACTGCTGCGGCCCTCGGCCCCTAAAGGCCATGAGCTTGGCCTCCGTAGGCTTGCAGTTGCAGCATCTTTGGCTGCGGAGGCTGGGCCAACAAATGCGGCAGCCAAGCCCAGACCTTGCACAAGTCAGCACATCGACAGCAGAAGTCGCGCTGACAACCAATCTGTGCTTCGGGCCCAACGCGCAAATCATCGCAGCGGCCATCGACCATGGCCGCCTCATTGCTGCAGCAATCTGCGAAGCAGCGTGCAAAGGTCACCGCCTAGGCTGACCTGCCTGTGCCATCGTCGCCCCGCAGCTGCCATGGCCATGGCGAGCAAAGGCCCAAGTTTCAGTTCTGTGCCGCAAACTTTCGCCAAGCGAAGACATGCACGATGGATCGTCCCATGCACGTGGGGCATCGCTGCACCCGCTCGCATGCCCATCTCAAGAAAGCCCCTGCCTCTCCACCCAGGTCTCACGCCATGTGTCCCGCCGTGTCAGCGGAAAAACGTCATCCGCCAGCCCCAGCTCCTCCTGGCGCCGTCCCCGTAAGAGACGTTTTGGCAGCAAAGCGAACCACGAAGTTCTGCAAGAAAGGCAAGTCCTGCTCCCCGCAGAAGTAATCCCTGAACTCGCAGAACACTCCAACTCCTTGGCGTCAGGTTCAAGAGAGCGTGTGGGGCCATTTAGCATGTGCCGCTTCAACTAAGGCACGGTAGCCACTCCGCTTGAGTGTGCGGAGAAGGTTGTGCGAGTTGTCCCCCTGATGGGACAGGATCTGAATCTACGAAGTCGCGTGGCCAAGCCGTCGGCAGTGCCAAGCCAGGCCTCGAGTTCGAGGCCCCCCAGCAAGGGGTAGAGATTTTGGACCTTCCGGGCACTGGTCGTCTCGCATCAGCACTGAAAGCTCGATTTGTGCTTCTGTGCTGTCTCCGTGCACGTATGTGCACATGTCGTTTCCGGATGCCGGGATCAGCTGGAGAAACATGTGTAAGCCCTTCGTCCGTCTTGCGAACTGAAGCTGTATGCTGCTTGCTTGCTTCGAAAAGAAGACAACTGAAGGCTGAGCTTGTCAGTTTCGCCGCAGACTTCCACTCCACACTTAGATGATCCCCTGCCCGTGTGTTCATTGACAGGACTGTGCTGACGAGTGGCCGTGCTGCCCCACTGGATGCTGTGAAACCAACCTTTGCTGGAGCTAACTTTTTGCATCGACCGTTCTGCCGGAGTTGTGTGCCAAGTCTCCTGCTGCGCCGCCAACATAGCCAGGGCCGGAGCGACGCAAGGCTTGCAAAGTCAACGGCAAGAGCTCCTCAAGTATCTATAAGGCTTAATCTAAGGATCACGACCTACAGCGTGACACGGAACACTGCGACAACTGTGTCGAATCCAGGCGACGGATGAGTAGACAAAACATTTTCCCTCATAGAATAGACAAGACATGAATGAAGGGCCGGCTGACCTACTTGGCATGCAAGGGCAAACGAACCATGTTTCTCCTCCAATGTGTGGATTGACCTCGGCTGCAGGTGTGAGGCATTCAGGATCACTACGAGACGTCTGCCTGGACCCGCGCCTGCCCTGTGCCTTGCAGGGCTGTGTGCTTTCTTTTCATGCCGCCCACCGCAGGATGCAAACCGACAGAAGTCTGGTGCGGGACAGCGATGTACCGCCACCCTTTTGCCGCGGGTCATCTTGGCCTCGCTTCCTGCCAGTTCGCCAGCCCTGCATCAGCCGTCCCAGGGGTCGTCGCACAGATCGGAGCTGCGATTCGAGGATTCCAGCCTCCTTGGTGCGGGCCCTCCCAAGAGGCACGCAGCTCAGGTCTCGTTCCTCCTGGCGTAGACGTGATACCGGAACTCTTGGCTGGAACCAGGTAAAGCTCCAGCATGTGGACAAATCCTCAGAAGGGAACTTTTATGAAGGGAAGAGGCCTTGCATGCCAGCCCAAGCTTAGGACAAGCCCTGGGCGTCTTGCATCCGGGAGGCGGTATGGGCAGAGTGCTTGTGGTGCCAGATATGAACACCTAAGCCAGCGAATTGATCATGTTCTGGACTTCTCGCACCAGAGTCAATCGTACAGAGTCGCTACCGACTAGCCGCGCCTCCGAACGCGCTCAAACTCACCGTTTCAAAGAAACGAAGACTAGACTCATCATCTGCAGAACGCGATAAGAACAGCTTGACTAAGCATGGAAATGTTCTGGCTGGGCTGGTGAGACGACTAAGAATACAATGGCAATTTCTTGACACCGTAGCCATTTTGGCTCAAGCCATCAAGCAGGTTCGAAGGCCCGTCGTTGTGCAGATCCTGGGAATCATGCCTTCCACCGCCACCAACATTGTCATGGCCGGCGTCGGTGCCTTCGCGGCAGCGGGTGCCTTGAGCGGTGCCTTT